GTCATCTGGTATATTTACCTACTGGTCATTAAGTTATTTAAGTTTAGGCCAATTTGCCAGTTCCCGTTGTTTACTGTACATTACATATGATTGTGCTAAATATATAACTTCTTTAATTAACAACAACGTTAAATATTTATTAAAATCATACCAAAAACTATTAATTAAAGTGTTGTGTCTATTGCAAAAAAATTGCGAGTATGGCGGGTGTGGGCAATTAAGGCAGTGCCACTTTGGGGTACAAAATCGTCACCGAGTCTTTGATTTTGTTTAATTGTTTGACAAAAACTTTTTATATTTCAAAACTACGGTTTGTATGCTTTTAATTGATGTACTATATAATACGGGACATCTATTTTACAGCAAATATACTTATTTAATATAATATAAGTTTTGGCCAATGGGAGAGTCAGCTGTGTTGTTTAAATTGAACAAGAGTATATATGAATGCTGTCATCGTAAAAGCACTTATCTCGGTAAAGTATGCTTACTTGCAATGCTCTCTGAAAATACAATGTTAATAGTAATTTAATTATTAAAACTATATTTAACTTAATTTCAATATTTTTATATAAATATTTATTAATAAACAAACAGAAAATCGTTAATCCTTTGTAATAATACTTTTAAAATGATTAATTTACTATTAAACATTGCAAAATCAAACACAAATTTACCCAGATAAGTGCTTTCACGATGATAGCATTCATATCGATTTTACAATTGTGCTTTCACAATTAATTTTAATTGTAAATTAGAAATAGTTTTAGATACATTTTATAACTCAAGTTAACAAATACATAATTAACAAAATAAGTAAATAATTTAATCATTATTTATAATGCAATATTAAAATGTACCGTGTTTACTTCAGTTTATTTAGCAAATAAATCTCTTGATTCAATGCCAATAATTAATGATTTAACAAATTTGGCCTGAGCAAATTTACTCAGCGTAAGGGGTACTTGTGTGCGGGAAGTCCTTACAAACCGGAACCTCCTACTCATGTGAAACAGGGCTAACTTTGTCTCCATTAACGCGAATCGCATACCAATGCAATTACGAGGGCCGGCACCGAACGGTAGGTACGTATAGGGAGTCATATTGTGTCGGTTTTCCGGCAAAAACCTCTCGGGTATGAACGCCCCTGCGTTCGGGTAATACTCCTCCGAGTAATGGATACCATAAATAGGAATATCCAACGACTGGCCCTTTTGTACGGTAATCCCGGTGTCGCCTAATTGGTAGTCTTCTGAGGCAACTCTCGTGAGTTTCGGTAGCGGCGAATGGAGTCGTAATGTCTCGGCTAAGACTGCGTCCAAATACGGGAGTCTCGCCAACAGATTGTAGTCAATCTCGCCGTTAGTGGTGTCCGAAGAGACCACTTCCTCGTGCAGTCTCTCCTGAATGCGTGCATTGACTGCCAATTCATACGCACAGAAAGCCATCAGAGAAGCCGTTGACTGATATCCGGCGCCAAAGAAAAGGAATCCCTGGGCGAGCATCTCATTCTCTGTTAACCACTTATTCGTAGGCATTGTGTCCCATAAGGCCTTCTCGGCAGCCAACCCCTCCTCATCTTATGTCATAAAATGCATTCAAACCATTAGTTAGTATTAATTGTCGCGAATATCATAAAGAATAGCATATACTGTATGCGATAGATAACGACAAACCTTGATTGACATGGTGTGCCTCATGGATGTCATTCTCATACTGACGACTATCCCTACCCTTCGCGGCTGTCATCATGAGATCGATAAAATCGTTGTACTTCTGGCCACAGTTTTGTCTCGTTTTGATTACCTGTCGGACTTTGTCGAAGAAGAATTGAATTGCTAACTCATTGAATCTGGATTTAATATTGAGCATGGTCAATACGTACGCTGGAAACAAATCCAGGCCTAATACCGTGAGAAACGACACGTTGAGCACTTGTTTTCCGTGTTTAACGAACGGATCGTTGGGATCCTTATGGGCGTTGGTCTTTGTAGCGAAGGCACAGCTGGCGATCACATCCATCGTGAAGCAGCCAAACACGTCCGTCCCGTCAATGTCTGCCCTCTGTTTGGCATAAGTGTCCAAAACGTCGAGTAACTCCTCCAACGACTGTGTCATCAATGGATACATTTTCCGCATCTTTGCCGATGAGAAGGATGGGCTGACTGTCGCGCGAATCTGTCGCCAATCGTCCCCTCGAGTGTTGGCCATAAGCCGGTCAATGATGGGGTGCTTAGCCTTTAAGTCGGCCCGTCTATCCACAAATTTATCGAAATCCTTGACCAGAATCTGTTTGATGAGTTCCGGGTCACCCACTTGTAGGACAGGTCTATTGCCTTCGAATATTCTGCGACATTCATATCAAATGTTTTGCAAATTATAGGCACTTTTGAGAAAATAAATTTTTTTATTATATGTATGACTACTACCCGTAGATTTTGCCGTATTTCTCATATCGTTGCGCAACCAACTCATGCGTTGACGTGAATAACATCTCCCATAGGTTTCCCACACCAACTAATGGTCTAGGACCTTTAATTCCCCTTTGGCTAAAGTAACCAAAATTGCGCGTGAAATACCTAAAATATATACATAATTACCGATAATCAAGTTAGTTTCATAAGACAGTTTCATGGTAATTTCATTTAGAAAATTAAAACTGAATTTTATTTTGCAAATTAATTCACCCTTGATGTTAACAATAATTTACAGTATAAATATATGTTATTCATTTTATCAAGTAATAAAATGTAAAGCTTAAATTGTATCAAGTATCATATACATACCTATAAATTATCAACAGGGTGAAAGAAATAAATATCGCATATAAAATAAACGACATAGCTAGTAAATGATGTTTTCAATAAAATAATAACTCAATTAATGTATGAACGTTCAAAAGCTTTCAATAAAATTAATATGTAGCGACACTTAATATAATTAGGTTTATATAAAGGGTGACCAGATATTTGTTCAATATTTTGTTTAAAACTGGACAATTTGATGAAATGAGACAATATTAGAATTAATCCAAGTTTTAAAACTGGACAATTCAGTGCTAAAATGGACATCTGCTCACACTATTTATATACCATGCAAAGGTATGAATCATAATGAGTATGCAAATTTTACATAAATAACATTATGTATCCGCTTATGAATCGGCGAATAATTAAATAAAAATTACATTTACTAATTGCAACTTTCACAACAAATTTCATAATTAAAAATGAAAATAAATTTTCTTTTACTTCTTGTTACTAAGCGTACCTCAACTTTCACTTTACTGTAAATTAGGGCTCCCAATAGACCTCCATTAGTACAATTGTCCTATCTACTATTTATATTTCATAAACCCCTCCCAAGGGTTTTAAGCAAGATATTATGAACATAGTTGAAGTGAGCCATGTACCTTAAATGAATATTATTATATACTTGGAAACTAAGTTTCTATAAAATCGTTTATTCATAAACGATATAAATTAAAAATAAGCTAAAAATATACTACTATTATGCAAAACTATTATGTTGTTAACTGTGTGTTTAAATTCAACCTAGGACATATAATTTCTGTGCAAGAACATATATCTAAAAAGCAACCCTCTCCTTCAGTTATATGCCTTTACATTGGAGAACTAAATGACATGAGATTAGAAAGTATTTTTTGGATTATTTTTAATTTTTATAGTTTACGAATAAGCGATTTTATACGAACTTTACTGTGACCAACCGTCCAGGTTTGACCTGGACTGTATAGGAATTAGGATATCTGTCAAATGTTCAAGGCAAGGTCTGGAACAGGAACCCAGGATCCAGAAACAAAAATAAACTTTTCAAAAAAGTTCATAAAGTATATCTTATGTAGGTCTCTAAATTTCTACATTATTTATAGACGAATTCATTTTTAAACGTTATTTTTGAATTCCGTACCTAACCTAACCTAAAAATGTTGACATATGAGCACGACTACCCTACTTGGATGCTGTCGCGTCGGAAACCCTGCGCACACACATCTAGCGTTCGCAGAACCTCAAGGAATGGCAGGAGTCTCAAGGAATTGGGGTCTGACTCCTGTCTCAAGGAAGGGGTCTATCCTTGATATGAGAAACTCAAGGAATAGGAATTATATTATTTATTTATAATTTTGCTTAATTTTAATAAATAAAATGCTATAGTTATATATAAAAGTTCCTTGAGAAATCGTAAAAACTAGCTAAATTTCTATCCTTAATTTAAAAAATGATATTACTCTATTCAGTTAATTAATACTGAGTTAGACTACTACATAAAATGTCCCAATTATTATATATATATAATTAAATTTATAGATCTAATAATTAATATTTTAAAAATTTTTCATAAATTCAAATCAAAAATTAAAACGATATAATCTCAAGGAATTTAATGACAGGCATAATTAGAAACAAATTAAAATATTTAAAATATTATCAAACCTTTTTGAAAACTATTTTGTTTCTATAATATAAATATAAAATATAACAATTATAATAACTTCCAGTATAAAAATAAATTTTTTTATATTAAAAAAATTTAAACTCCCAATAAATTAAAGCTAACTATTGTCTCAGGGATTAAATTAATAATTTGTACAAAATTATATTAAAGGTTATTTTGTAAATCATTAGGCAGTCTCCTAATACCGCAAAAAATGAACTCAAGGAAATCTCAAGGACATTTTTACAGTTTTTAGTCATTCTCAAGGAATTAAGATTTTAGACCTGCGAACGCTACACACATCCCACAAAAAATTGCTGATTAGGTACCCGTCCGGTGACTATAGTTTAGACGATACGGATATTACTTTGATGTATGTATCATAAATAATTTAGCATAGTTTTAAACCATGCGATTTCAGGGGATAAGTTGGTCATTTTTGCAACAAATAAGTTGACCAACATGCTCGTTTTTAATGGCAAAATATTTAATTCAATATAAAAATTCAATATATATTTGAGTAAATATAATTTTAATAACAGAACCTTTTATTATTTTCTTATGAATTCAGCAATTAGTGTACATTGTTGAATTAACAATCGATAAATCATACATGTCGAAAATTAAAATTTAATTTGTAAATTTATAATTTTAAAATATTATTTAATTTTTAATTTTTAAAAATCTAGTCAGACATGTAATTATTAAAATACAATATTAAAAACATTAGTTATTATGCAAAAATTACTTGTCGACTCAGGGCATCTCGCACAATTTCTATGGGAATATAGTCTCTGTATGATTGGACAAACATTTTCCCATTACTATCGGCCAATACTTTCAATACATTCAGTGTATTCAATAATTTCTTGAGTTTCACGTCCGAGTATACGTCCGATCGGTATTTCAATAATAAATAACGTCTCAATAAATATACGTATATTTTTCGCTGTAATCTAGCATGTTCAAGGTTAAATAAACAAAGTTAATAAAACTAATTAATTATTAAATATTACTAATAATAGTAATTACTTAATCATGTGTTTGTTTATAAGATTAGACCGATCCGGGTTAAACAATACGATTGCCGTTAACTATATTTACAAAATATATCAGTGTCAGTTAGTTTAAAATTATTTATTATCATCATAGATACCAGATTTAATATAACTACATCAGCATCCAGTTCCCCGGATAACACATGAAAAAACTTGCGGGCCATTTGATACACATTGTCAGGGTAATTTTGCATCACATTAATACTAGTGGCTATGCAATTGGTATCATCCTAGAATATTAATATGAAAGTATAATTGCTAAAAAATTTACTAGGTTATATCAAAATATTTTATTAATATTAACTCATATTTACCTTGATCACATTAAATGTATCTGTGAAGGGGTCAAACCTGGTCACAAGTCGTATGTTAACCAACTCAATGCACCCGTACTTTATGAGAGATATCCTATCGTTTTCGCACAAACCCTCGAATGTCATCAGTTTTCGCGACATTTGTATGAATTTTGACAAATGCCTGTCCAATAGGAGTGCCTTACAGTCCACGAGTTGGTTGAGCTCTTCAGAGGTGTTGGCCATATGAGTTGGACTGCCGGTTAGCTCGAGTAATACCTGTGCGGCCGACAGGAGTTCCTGTAATCTATTGCCCTCTAATTCATTGAATTGGTTTCTATAGTCCATTAGCGGTCGATGGATAGGTATAACTGAAACAGACTGTCCCACAGGTATATGGATATCAGTAAATAGTTCCGAGAAGTCTATGGTCTGCGAGTCTGTGCTGTGTTTGCGGTAATCATTGGTATGTTTTGTATGGGATGTGATGTCTGTGTAGTGAATGTCGTTAATCTCATCGCTAGACAAGTGGTCAGTATATGAAAAGTCATTAGATTTTTGTTTAATTTTAGGAAATTCTTTGGATGTGTCATACATTTCACGCTTTTTTCTATTCATTTCTATTTTAAATTTTCGCTTTTCTCTCATCTCGTCGTTAAATATCCAATCCTTTTGTGGAGAGAGAGAGAGAGAGAGAGAACCATGGTAATAGATAATATACTTAAAGTACAGTATATAGATTTTATCAAATGTTCACTTATTTAGTTCAATTGCACTAACATTATAATTAATGTTGTCACAAACATATTTATTTTAATTTTGCTGTTTTAAAATATAATGTTTAAAATATGAATAATGAAAACACATATACTTTTAAATTGTGCCTGATTTGTGGTGCAACAGCTCTAGGTAATTACTAAATTACTAATTATAATATATCAAGTCAATTTATTATTAATAAATAAATAAATTTTAGTAAATATAATAACTTTTTAATAAAATTAACATATTGATTTGTCTAATTAGCATTAAAGTTTATGCAATAAAATTACTTTTACAATATTTAAGGCAAAAATTTTGATTGTATTTCGTGTCAGTCGTGTAAACAGTTTTTCCGTAGACATGCCTTTCGGGAAAAGGTATACAAACATTAAAAATATAAAAAATGATATATTTATTGAATGTATTGAGTGATTATTAAACAGCAATTCATATGTTTGCGTCAAAATTGCTGTCAAATAGACGTCAATACGAGGGTTGACTGTAAGAGATGTCGTCTCGAGAAGTGTTATGCAATGGGGATGAAAAAAGTTTGTATTATTTTCATTGCATTTTTATTATTAATACTATTCTCTCTCTCTCTCTCTCTCTCTCTCTCTCTCT